CCAAAAATACAAAAATTAGCCAAGCGAGGTGGCAGGTGCCTGTAATCCCAGATACTCAGGAGTCTGAGGCAGGAGAATCCTTTGAATCTGGGAGGAAGAGGCTGCAGTGAGTCGAGATTGTGCCATGGAACTCCAGCCTGGGCAAAGAGTGAGATTCTGTCTCAAAAAATAAAATAAAAAAAAAATAAAAATGAAATAAATAAAGGTCACATCAAAAACTATATATCTACTGCTGCCTGCAAAAGCAACAAAAAACAAAAAAGACCTAGTAGTATCTCTTCCACCGTTCATTAGGCTTCCTTGTGCCATAGAACAATCCTTCAAAAATTATTTTTCTCAGAACATGGAGGCAGACAGAGAAATGGCTTCATGAGGGTCTCCGTGAAAAATACAAAGCTAGAGGGCCTGCCACGTTTTTTATTCACTCCCTCTTCTCCTTGCCCCAACTTCCTCCATTACTCCTCTTTTTGTCTCTTCTTATTCCTTGGTCATATTCTTCCTCCTCTCTCTCACTGTATCAGTTTAGCTGGACAGGTTTTTAATGTTTTGAGAATATTAAAGAAATAATGCCTACATGTTCTGATGACCTCAGAAGGTTCTTTTTGGTTTCCTGGTTCTCTGGTGACCAGTTTCTTCTGCCAGATAAACTGGTCATTCATCAGGCAAACTAGTTCTCCAGCACAGTAATCATCTTTTGGGCTTCAGGAGGTGAGAGATTCATTAGGTGATTTTTTTTTTCAAGATTAAGGCTAAAAATATATATTGATTCTTTGCTAGAAGGAAAAAGAAACAGTTTGGACAAGTTCCATCCTTGGACAAGAGAGAGAGCAGCACACACACACGTGTGTGTGTGTATGTGTGTGTGTGTGTGTGTCTCGGAAGGTGGTGGGTGATCTTAACAGGGTATTTAAGATCTTCTGCAATCTTTTCCAAACTACTTTTTCACTTTTGGCTCCTACAACCCCCTGATACACACACACACACACACACACACACACACACACACACAGCCTTGTCTCACGGTACATAGAACATCCTTCTTTTCCTTTAGTAAATGGGGCATTGTCTACATGTCATGTTTTGTATTCCCTTCCCACTGTCTAGAAAGTGCCACCCCATCCCTTAAACTTAATGGTACATACATGTGCCCTGTCTGCCAGGGAAAATGCATCGATTTTGAAGCCCAGTCCTAGATGCATTTCTCCCTTTACCTTCCTTGAGCAGCTCAGCTTACTCCATCCCTCTCCTTCTCTTCTGAACACCTGTTGCACTTATCCTGTGTCAGACAAGAGTTAATCTCCATAATGAAAACATACTGAATCCGAAACCAAATGTGATGCTCTCAATAAAACGTAAAACTTATCAGATTTTGAAAAGTATGTGTGTGTGTTTGTGTGTTTGTGTGTGTGTCTTGGTAAAGAAGCTGAAGCCAAGCAGACACATGGCTGAGAGAGTCTGGAGAAGAGATGATGAATACAGAGAGAATAGATAGAGAAAAGTGATGAAAATAAAATGTCATCTTCCAGTACTGATCATATATCTTACAGAAACTCATTTTCACTAGTCCTTTCACATGCTAGATATCCCTCATTCCACTTTAGCTTTCATCCTACAGTTGCTAGTCTTATAGATGCTAGAAATGCACCAAGATCTCTCACACTCTAATTTGGTATTTTTAAACCATCTTTTCAATATGGAGAGACCACTCACTACACACATACACAGGCACATACAGATTCTACACCCAAAATACCAACATGTTCAGGAAATTGCATGCTAAGTGCTGCTACTTTGGGCTCCAGCTGTATCCTCTTGACTAAAACAAAAACTGAATAGCGTATACTGTTCTCCCTTCAACTCTCCAGGCTTTTCCTGAAAGTCCTAGCTTCTCAATACTGAACAGTTTCAGAAAGTCCCTGTGTCATCCTGCAGTCTGCACATACACCGAAGACTTCAACACAACAAACAAACCCCAAGTTCCTTTGTTTTTTACCTTTTTTTCTAATACTGTACACATATATCTTTAGACTGTAGTAATTATATACTCTGTAAACAACAGGAATGAGAAAAAGCCATTGGAGTGCCCATTTTGCTTCTATAACAAAGGCATGCTTGTGATTAGATAACAGAAAAATTATAAATCTTACAATACTTTTTCCAGATGAAATCCTAAAGACATTCATATATATATTAACCATATATGTCAAACTTATGATTATTGATAACTTGTGGTTTTCAGATGAAAGAACTTAGAAATAAACATTGAAAGTATTATGTCACATAAAAAAGTATTACAGATAATACCTTTAACAAAATGATAAAACCTTCCTTCCTTTTTTTTCCTTCCTTTCTAGTTTTCCTTTTCTTCAACAATTATTTAATATCTGCTACACAGGTGTTTGATGCTGTAGGACCTGATGAACCACAGCGTTTTAGGCCAAGAGCTATTTTAGATGGCAGAGAAAGATCCTTGCTTCAAGATACCACGTATTTGCTTCAAGTTACTTTCCCACTAGAGAAAGAAAGGTTCCACCTTCATTATTGAAATGGCTTAGCTTTATAGCCTGGGACTGGCTTATTTATTTTATGAATGTCCTGACCAAGACCAGAAAGCTCTGCTGAGAGAATCTCTGCCTCATTGAGGTTTTCATTCTAGGTTATATATTGGGAATACAGATGTAAAGCCATTACTTGGGCATGGCTGGATAAAACAGAGTCAACAGAGTGAGCTTGGAAAAAAAGCAGAGAAAGAAGAAATGTTAATTCATTAAGGGAGAGAGGATTGGTGGAAAGAGTTTCTCTATTCTCTTTCGTTGCCATGTGGAATCTTTAGTGATAGCAGTTGGACCTTGATAGGTGGAAGGCAGAATGATCTCTAATCAATAACATAATGAAAAAGTTGTGCCAACATAATTATCATTTACTTTCTGCCTCATCAATAATTCACAGTTTAATTTGTTTCAACTCAATAAACATGTATTTTATATCTATTATAGACCTGTTTTGGGTCTGTGAGAAACAGGTTAAAAAAAAAAAGAGAGAAACTGTCTTCAAAGAGTTTACTTGACAGGGCGAGGGAGTCATAGCAGAATGATTACATAGATATTATTATTGTTTACTATATCAGATGTTATCATTCCCAGAATAATATATATAACCTATCTTACTTTTTTCACCCTAAAATGGAAATGTGAGCTGTCAATTAATGAGTGGTGGTACAACTTAAACATTAAATGAAATTAGAGTAGAAATAAAGTTTACCTATTTTTTCTGCAACCACATTTTGAGTACAGTACAATGGAAATGCTTTATTTCCTTTTGTAAATAATGGCTTTAGGAGCCTGGGATAGAATGTTTTAAAGCAGTTTCCAAACTTATCCAACAATGTAAGCTACCTACTAAGTGCAGATTTCAGGGTCCTTCTGGAGATGCTGGTTCTGTGGTTCTAGGGTAATCTGAAGAAACTATACTTTTATGGGAGATTCTATCTTAAGGAAAATTGGGGAAATTGCTATTTAGGAGAAATTATAATTGACTAAAGAAGAATGAAAACACAAAGAACTATTTATATGAGTGAAAAAAAATAGAAAAAACCTCACAGATGCCTTGTGTACCTTTTACAAATTGGCTCTGTACCTACATTGGCAACACTGCAGATAAATACAACATAAAAATAATTCAAAATATTCTGTCCATTTATCAAGATATTTCCAGCAAATGTAAGTCTCTTTTTGAAAAGCAGTTCATTGCAATTGTGCAAATAGGTGCATCATATTAAAATTTTAAGCCTATAAGTAAGCTCTGGAAAAAATTAAGGTAAAAACATTCGGCCAGGCAAGTGGCTTATGTCTGTAATCCCAGAACTTTGGGGAGCCAAGGTGAGCAGATCACTTGATCCCAGGAGTTCAAGATGAGCCTAGGCAACATAGTGAGAGCCTCATCTCTATAACAAATTTAACAAATTAGCTGGGCATGGTGGTTTGCACCTGTAGCCCCAGATACTTGGGGGGGGGCAAGGTGGGAGGATCAATCGAGCCAAGGAGACGGAGGCTGCAGTGAGCCATGATCATGCCACTGAACTCCAACCTGTGCAACAGAGCGAGTTCCTGTCTCTAAAAAACAAAAAACATGCAGTGCTTAAAATAAACCAAAATTATTTTAAACTTAATCTAGGATTCTAAATACTACTTAGAGTTATCAAAAATCTTTTTTAAAACCTCATCCCTATTCTTTAATAATAAGCATTTTATTTTACTTTGAACATTTTGGAGTGTACATTTTCATTTCAGTTTTATCTTGGAGGATGGAACTAGAACTACTGACTGTTCTAATGAAGGCCAAATGTTTCTGAAAAGTCAGATTTTAATGTTTCAGCTCATAAGTAATATAATGAGGATTGTATTATTTACTTGTAGGTTTTTTTCCTAGTCTAGGTTTAAAATTAAAGAGTACACATAAAAGCTCTAGTTCTGTGTATAGAAGGTGCTCCAGAAATTTAAATTTCCCACTTCTTGAATCATCATCATCATGATCACTATCATTCTCTTCGTTAGGCTTCATTAATTGCCTCCTTGTGCCAGGGATAATGCAAAGTCTGTGGGGGATGCAGAGACATTTCCACTCTCCCAGGGAAGGACACACTAAGTTACAATGCAATAATCCATACTGTGGAAGTTCACAGAGTGGAGGGATTGCAGTGGAGGGCTCTACAAGTGGGAAAGACCCTTTGGAGAAAGTGGCTTTTGAGCTGGCCTTCAAAAACTTTAAATAAGAATGCTTTATTCTCAACAGTTACTAACTTTCCCTAGGAGCATCGCTGTTACTCTTCATTAATTATTTGGTGATGTGAAATGATTAATGTTTAATGCTCTCTTATGAAACAGATTTTCCCAAGGTTCAATTAAGTTGTTTGAGTCATTTAAGTGTAACTAAATGAAAGTTGTGTAACAAAGAAATTGCAAAGACTCCTCAATATCTGTTTAACTTGAATATCATTTCAGGCAGATCCTTTAAAGATTTACAGACTGACACACTCTAATATCACATCATCTTCCTGTGGAAAATAAAGAGCAGGAATTATTTGATCCATACAACGATCTTTACAATTCAGGCCTCAAAACAGGATGATGTCTGACTAACAATGGAAAAGTAGGTCTTCCTCAATTATCCAGGTAAATGCTTAAGTTTATAGAATCAACAGATAGTTCTAAAATAGACATATAAATAACAGAGAAAAGAAGAATACATAAGGCAAGGAAAATAATGCATTTTGTACATTAGATATTTCTTAAAGCAGGTACTACAGGGAGCATTCCAGTATACTTTTATATTCTAAAATAAAAAAGTAATCCATAGGAAAACATTTATCCTTTGCTTCATGTCTCTATTTCTTTTTTAAAAAGCCAAATACGATTTTCTTGCATTCTCTTTAGAATTTGAAGTCTAGTGACTGAATGGAAGAATTGCAAAATTTGTACATTATATCAAATAGTTCCCTTTGCTCCATATATTTAGTAATAGATATAGATGGATGCAATAGAAAAAACTATAAAAAATACAGACTTATTTGGCCACAAATCACAAACATCATAACTATAACATTTCCAATTTTTAAAAACTCAGTTATATGCATACTGAATCATATAATAGAATATGTATATGCATACAAGAATCATACAATTCTAAAAAGATTTGTTACAAAAAACGGCAGTTCCCTATCACTTGCTTCTATTTATCCCTGTTCAAAAAGCAACTACTTTTACCTTTTACCAGCCAACTATTTTGATATTTACCTCCATGTCATAAATAATGTGTTGTTATTCTGTTTTTGTATTTTTGAATTTTAGGCATTATTGACATTCTGCTATGGAAGTTGAGATTTTGCTTTTTTCCCTTTCTCTGACCAAAAACCCCAACCAGAGACTTATAATCTTTCCTATCTCCTCATCTTCCTGATTACAATTTTACATAATGATTTTGATTAATTTTCAGTGTATATATTATGAAGATTATGTAAATACCATTCACAGATCAACTTTTCCTGTAAGGAAATACCACAAGGTGGTAGTATTTGGAGGTGTATTTGTCTTTGGGAGGTGATTACATCATGAGCTTAAAGCCCTCATAAGTGGGGTTAATATCCTTAAAAAAGAGGACCAAGTCCGAGAGAGACTTTTCACCCTTTTCACCCTGTAACAGCAAAGCAAGAAAGTGCTGTCTATGCATGAGAAACTGGGTTCTCATTACACTGGTGAGACATTAAACTGGTGCCTTGATCTTAGACCTCCCAGTCTCCAGAACTGTCAGAAATAAATATCTGTTGTTTATAATCTACCCAGTTTATGATATTTTATTTTAGCATCCCAAACAGACTAAGACAGTATTTCTCATCAATTCTAGTAACTTTTCACAATTCTGTACATTAGCCCTTGACATGCTCAGATGCAGCAGGTATTCTATTGATTTGATTTTCCTGAAGAGATCTCTCCCAGTGTCTCCCATTGCTGCAGTCTGCAGTGGCTGCCTCCTATGCCTGATATTTAGCTGTTATGCAGGGTTCTTCCTTCACTGTCACCCTAGGGATTCTTGTTGTCTCTTTTCTCTGTATTGGATTGCCTGTTTCCTGTATCACATGTCTTCCTCTTTTTTGGATTCTTCTCTTGTTTTGGTAGAGCAAGATCTCCTTTCATGAGAAATGGCACAAAGTAGGTAAATTTCTTGAGGTCTTGCTTGTCTCACAATGTCTTTATTCCCCTGACACTTGATTAATAGTTTAATTGAGCATAGAATTCTTGGTTGGAAATAATTTTCCTTCAGTGTTTAAAAGACATTACTCCACTATCTTTCAATTTCCTGTGTAAATGAGAGATCTGAAATGGCTCTGATTCCTGGTTGTGTGTGATCTCACTTTTTTTCCTAATTCTAAAATTTCTGTGATCTCTTTGTGTCTAGTGTTTCCAAATTTCACAGTGATGTGCCTTAACGTCGACTGAGGTACTGCCCCACTGTGCTATGCAGTTAGACTAGGATGCTTTCAACTTGGAAACTTAGATCCTTCAAATCTAGGAAAATGTCTTGAAAATATTTATTTTCTCACTTCCATTTTCTCTCTTTCTTTCTAATATAGGTATACCAGACTGCTTGGATTAGTCCTTTGTCTTTTTGTCCACTTTCTGATGATTTCTTTGACTTTATTTTCTAATTCTTCTATTGAATTTTTTCTTTCTTCTTTCATAGCTTTGCTTTACAAGACTTTTTTTGGTGATAGTTGCTGTTCTTGACAGGTTCCTTTCTTATAGATCCTGCTCCTATTATAGGGTGGCAGCATCTGGCAATGTTAGAATTTATTTTTTTAAGTTTCTCTCTCAATGTATAGTTTTTATTATTCTCTAAATTGTTTTTGTTTGTTTTGTTTTCCTATTTATTTTCATCTCTATCTGTCATATAAGAGGATTTTCTCATGCCTGGTAATCATTAGTTATCCATTCCTCTTTAACAATGGAGCATTAAAATGCTGACTGGATACTCTGACTACATGGTTAGGACTTGACTATGACCTTCCTTATAGGGTGAACTGGTTGGGAAAAGTCAGATATCAGTTATTTTTCAATTTATTTCCTCTTGCAATGATCAGGTTTCTCAGAGAAGATTCTATCCATCCTCTACCTAGAGAGAGAGACTGATTGCTGATGCAAAAAGACGCCTGAAGTCTCAGCTTCAAATATCTCCTCATTCATTTCTTCCCCTAAAATTACTATTGTAAAAAGTTCAAACATACAGAAGAGTTGAAAGAATAGTACAATAGCTACCCTTGTATCTTCTATCTGTATTCAACAATTATTAAGTTTGCCATATCTGTTCTCTTTCTCTCTAAACCTTTGAAACTAGGGTGTCATCATGGACTTTACTCTTAAATATTTCAGCATATATCTCCTTAAAAATAAGAACATTTCTTACATAACCACATGTAGTATTGTCATGTCTAAGAAAAAATAACAGTAATTTTTATCACTTAATTTGGTAATTTATAGAGAAAGAAATAGTTGGCTAGGTGCTCTAGACTAGTCAATTACATAAAACTTTCTCATCCTAAGGGCTTGCTACTCCTAGGAATTTAAATTTTAGGGCAAATTGTAATTCAAGGTGATTAGACAAATAAGCAATTAAGTAAAAAATTATTTCTTGGGCCTCTGTAATAAAAAATACCACTGTGTGATATATATAAATAAAACACATGACCTCTCTGCAATAAGGAATTTATTCTCTGCTTGGGAGACAAATGACTGTTAAATAAAAACAGTGCCAAGAGGGCAGGCACAGGTGTTTCAGGATATAACAAACAGTGTGGTCTGGTGAGAAGGTTGAGTTATGAAAGAAAACAGTGGGAGATAAAGCTTGAACTACATCAACTCGGTTTGATTATGTAAGGCTCTGAATGCCAGGCCAAGGAGGCAGGACTTTATTTGACAGATATGTCAGACCTATAGGAGATTTTTCCATCAAAGAAAGGACATGATGAAGGGAATGTTTTAGGAAGTTTCATCTGAGAGCATTGTACAGGAGGTACTAAAGGACACTTCAGTTACAATCTCCAACATGCTGTCTTCAGTTGCTACTTTTCTCTCCCAATTTTGAATCTCATACAGGTAAATTCTTGCTAGATACTTCCACCAGAACCTCAACTCAATACTGTGCTTCCAAAACCATACTAGTCTTCTTAACTTGTAAATGTGCAACTCCTTTCTTATTCATGTAATGGCATGTATGTTCTTAGAAATTGGACCATCTTTGATATCTCCTTCTCTGTCACCCACATGTAATCATTCCCTTCCTCTAGTTGTTTCCATTATGAGCCTATTCAATTCATGTATCTTCCAAATACACATACATTAACCTAGTGATAGAACACTGAATTTGGGATCTCAAAGAATTTTTTACAAGGGAAGTCTTACCTTTTGTTATTTGCAGTAAAAACAGAACTGTGCATGCCAACATTGCACTTTGTGATTCTTCCAGCCCTCAAGAGACTGAGTTCTCAGGCTGTACTAATGAAGCAATCTATTATCTCCTTCTGAGTTCTACCTTTACCTCCTGAAGCAGCCAAATTATCAGTGCTCTGTTATGGCAGATTTGGCTAAGCAGTTAAGGCTCTTTTCAGGTAGGGAATAACTAAATAAAGAAGGTATATGCTATTCTACACACATATTTGTATACATAAAGAAGATGATCAGGTGGGGACAAACAGTTTAAAAAGTTTGGTTTATACTTTATATGTGGTTAAAATGTTAAGTGCTGATTGCCACTTTTACCATTTTCCCATCTTACTTATTATCTCTTTTATTGTCTATTAGTCTGTTCTCAATGCCCCAACCTTTCTTTGACTGATTTCCAGGCAACTTCCGTTTAAACTGACTTTTACTCTGGAAGCATCTAATGTCATTGATCTCTAAGATCTTTCTGAGACATATAGGATCTCAGCATTTTGTAATATTGAAAGGAGCAGGTAATTTTTCAACTAAATCAAAATATGTAAAAGCTTGCTCATGAAATACCACCAACTTAGACAAACATTTTTCTTGGGTGTCTTAAATATGATTTGTATAGGAGATAAAGAACAAAGGAGATAGCCAGAAAACGTTGGTTCCTTTTCTAAGGTCTGCTTCTTCTTTTTCACCACAAGCAAACAGAGTATCTGATCTTTATCAAGGCAGGAACTTGAGCTGCCCAGAGTTTCTGGTTTAGTCAATCCTTTAGGAATGGGAGAACGCATGTTCCTTGTGCAGTTTAGGCACTAGTGGCTTCCTGGATAATCCAAGGATCTTCAGGGCAAACAAGTTATCGTACATGTGGTCAGTACTTTATAGATTTTATTGAATTGGGAGATGCTGTTATAGCAGGGTTTCTCAACCTTGGTACTTTTGACTTTTTGGGCCAAATAATTTTTGTTGTGGAGGGCTTTCTTGTGCACTGTAGGATACAAAACAGCATCCCTAGCCTCTACCCACTACAGGCCAGTAGTACTTCTCCAATGTGACAAGCAAATTTATCAGTTTATCACTATCATTCCATTGCCCCTACTTTCTTTTTAACTTGCATATTAATCATTTGAAACTGTTTTGGGGTGAGACAAACACTTGCTTCCTGCAATAGATGAGAGATGAAAGGATTTTATTGTCATATACTAAGAGAGTGGAATCAGCAGGTAAATGGAACTGTTACCTAATTACTGACAGAAAAAGCAGTTTAGGGTGAACTCCTTTTAAACAAATATTAACACCCTTTGTTTAATTTCTCTAACATCAAATTAACTTATATCCAAGAATTACGGAGTGGATCAAATCATTCAGTTCTTTGGGAATATAACTAACAACCAATTCAACTTAGAAGTTTCATTAGGAAATTCCGCGGCTCAAAATTAGGCATTAGTTGGGGCATTTTACTGAGGGTGTTTTTCCTTATGGCCACATAAACAATAACTTAACACCCGCCTTAAACATATTTCACATTAAATATGCCATGTTCCAAGGCACAGACAACTGCAGACTCCGTCACGTCAGCGGCATAAATACTTCGAATGGGCATGCTGTCCGTTAGTTAGTATTGAGAAATGGTCACTTATTACTCCTAGGTGAGTGTACGTGACTGCCTTCTCCGCTTTCAGTGAACCCCAAGACTTGGAGCGTCTGTGGGTGCGCGTCTAGTGGGGACAACTTCTCCCTTCCGACTCGCAGAGAACCCAAAATTCGAAACCAACATAACGAAAACCAGAGTTTCTTCACCTGCGGAACCCGGCGAGAGGAGAAATTATCGCAGAAAAGAAAAAGCAAAAGGCTTTCCGCTCCAACCAATCAGATGAGAGAATTCTTGGCACTCCCCTTTACATCTACCAGTCAGCATCTAGCTCACTTGGCCACCGATTGACACAGGGAAAGGGTCTTTAAATTTTATTAGTACGGCTTCCCTCGCAACCCTCCTTCCGTCATTCTAGGCTATTCCACGAACTCTGCTCAAAAGAGGAAAACAGTGCAACTATGCCAAAGCTGATCAGTCTCGCGGTGAGCAGCGAAATTATAGTCTTCCCCAACAAAACCATGGGTTCTAGGAGGGACAGGGAAAGAGAAAATCGGGTTCTGGAAGGCAAACTACCACTCCCAAAGGGCCTTGCGCGGACTCAGCGCGCGCGGGCCGACGGGCGGGCTTTTGTAACGGGGAATGCTGAGGGTCACGGGCCTCCTCCCGACTTTCTGAACGCGAAGCAGCTGGTGGGCGGGACCTGGGGCAGGCGGAGCAGCTACGGGGTCGGCTCCGAATCTCTGTGGTCTCCTCCCTCTGGCTTTTCGCCGGCGACGTCGAAGGGGGCGTGGCCTGCGCGGACTCGTGGTGGGTGCGGGCGCCGCGGGACGTTGGTGACGCGTCCCTTTCCAGCTCAGCGGTGTGTGAGGTGTCGCGGCCCCGCCGGCGATTGGCTGTTGAGAGGCGATACGCGGCGGCCGTTGGTCACCGGCCGCCTGGAGCAAGACCCGGGGAGGGCGGGGAGGATATGGGGCGGCAGTGGCGGCGGCGGCGGCTGCAGGAGGCGGGCGTGGACGAGCCGGCGGCCGCAGGAGCGGCAATCCCCGGAGTCCTTCTGTGAAGCGTCCCTGTCCGCGCCTCTGTGGGGCCCTCGGAGAGGGCGGCCAGGACGCGAGCTGCTGAAGAGCCGCTCCGCCAGCGCCACAGCCCTTAGGACTCTCCGTCCCATCCTCGCGCTCCTACTTCGGCTCCTCCATCTTGGCCTCGGCAGTGGCGGCTGCCGGGAGGATGTGCCGCCTTCTGGCAGGGGGAAGAAGGAGGAGAAGATGAAGAAGCATCGGCAGGCCTTGGCCCTGGTCTCCTGCCTCTTTCTTTGCTCTCTTGTCTGGTGAGTAGCCGCGACGACAAGGGAGTTCCCTTGAGGGAAGTAAGGAGCTGCCCAGGTCACACCCCCAAGTCATCTCGGCTTTTAGGGTCCGGGTGTCCAAGGCCCCTGTGGAGGGACAAACTGCTTAATTCGCGACTCTTCCTCTGGTCTAGTAGTGCTCTGTGCAGAGATTTTCATGGTGTATTTTGGAATTTACAGAGACTCAGTGGGAGAGGAAAGCACCAAGTGCCTTTGTACTCAGTTCTACCCCTGAGAGACCGTGCGGGGTTTGGGCTGGGTGTTCAGATCGGTGGTGAGTTGCTCCGATTTGCCGCCAGTCTTTGCGTTCCTAGTGTGATAAGGGCATAAAGCACGTCGGATGTGATAACGTTGCGGACGTGCGATCTTAAAACGTGAGTCGTCAGGAAGGTAAGAGTCATGTAGAAGCATGGACATTTCTCGCACAGTGCTTGACCCCAAGTACACTTGGGCCGCTGTTTTTGGAAACTTGGGGGGTGTGTTTGTAATGAAGCACCTTTTCAATTGGTTTGGTGGAGAGGGTGTCTTCAATGTAGAGTGTGTAGTAGTTTTTGGTAATGTCCCTTAGTAAGGGGAAGGTAAATACTGTATTGGAAGGCGGGAGGACTGCTTTGTCGCTAAAGCACTCCCTAAGTTTTATGGAGTTTCTGTTAATACCAGGCACGTGTAGATTTTATTTGAAGAGCAGAGAGAACTTGTAAGTCTACGGACTGCCGTCAGTGTACTTGAAAAAGCCATTATTTTCTCTCCTGGAATTTCTTCAAAGATGTGTGACGATTGATGACTGAAAAGATGCTTCTTCAGTCAAGGCGATTTGCTCTTTGTTATATTAAAATAGAAATTAAGTTTACTGTTTAGCTTATTTCTGCAAAAAACCAACAAAGTTTTCCTTTTTATGGATGCCTAATGGATTCCAGAGGCACTGAAATAGTAGAGTTGTCGCTCATATAAAATAATACATAAGCAAGGGGAAGAGAAGACACTTGAGTAACTAAGGGATTTTGATTGGAAGGATGATAGAAGTTTTCAAGAACAAAAAAGAAATTGACCTCTTACCTTTCTTTCTGAATCCTTTTAATACCTCCCTTCCGTTTTTAATAAAATTCTCCTCTTTCTACTTACTGTGTTGGGCACGGTGAAGTGTTTATAAGAGATAAATCCACTCACCTTATTTTAAATTTAAATTTGTAGGTAACGAAGCTTGCGTTCATTTTCATCTCTTTTGGGGCTGTGTAGTTATTTGTAGATTGTGTATTTTCTTTCCTCTTTCTCCTTGGTCTTGCCCATCTTTAAACCGTGTCGTTATTTATCAAAACTTCCTGAAATGGCTAATTAAGGAAAAGGTTAACACGTTCCTTCAAGTTTAAAAACACAGCAGTATCTCTGGCTTTTTTTAATTGGATGGTGAAAACGAAATCAAGCAATAGAATGTGTTTGTAATCTAAGTTAACCCTGCTTCTGTTTCTTTTGGGAATTTCTGGCTATCTTTTGATTACTAACCCTCAATATGTTTTCTCACCTTCATTCATTAGCTATAGTGAAGAGATAACGACGTTAGGGGGAAAAAAATAGGTTGGCCTGGTATTGAAAATAGTAGTAATAAACTTCTGTAAAGTTTTTAACTCCTAGTGAGAACAATGGATATGGAGACTTTAAGAAAGTAGTGTAAATATTTTAAGAAACTTTAGCTTGAGAAACTGTTGGGTTAGTATATTTTGAGATTTGTTTAGACTGCCAAATTTAGAGACATTTTAATTATTATTTAACAAAACAATTAAAAGGCGTAAAAAGAAGACATTAAGGCTTAAAGGTTTTTTTTTGAAGGGTGATGAAAATGAGATTGGAGAAGAGGAGTACGTGGTGATGATTGGCAAAGGATATGTTTTGTCTTTGGAGCCTCTGCTTTCTTGCCAGGCTGAAATTATGGCACTGACTTATTGGATTTCTAACTTCTGCTACAATCTGGTGTGGTATTTCTTTTCTCAACAATCCCATCCCTTTTAACAGAAATGGCTACCAACAAGTCCTAGGGTTAAAGAAAACATTTTCAAGAGTCAATGAGTGCCTTTTAGTAGCCACTTTTGTCTCTTGTTATTCACAAATTGTCTCAGAATTTTGTGATCTATTTCTGTTTTGTGGATAGTTTAAAATATTCTAATTTCTAAGGGTTCCCCTCTCATGCTACCAGTATTACTGTATTATGTTTACTATCATAATTCTATAGATCTTGATTATGTCTCCCCTCTGTTTTGTCTTTTAGCCCGCAGTACTAACCTTAGATTATGTTAACAGAAAAACCATTTCATCTATTTCGGTAATAATTTTTGTTGCTATTTTTTCCTTTTCCATACTTTATCATTTTTGTTCAAGTAGTAGAGAGTATTCTAGGCATAAATGCACTATAGCTGCAGCACAGAGCAGTGATAGCTAATATTTATTGTCAGCTATCTCTGTGTCAGGCACATGATGTGTTCTTGACAATAACATCTTTAATATTCATAAGAACCCTATAAGATAGGTATTATTATTAACTTCCTTTTGCATTTTACATGTGAGGAAGTAGAGAAGTTAAATAACTTGGATAAGGTTAAGCAGCTGTTAAGCTTTGGAGCTTAAATTTGAACCTAAGCAGCGCAGGCTCCTGACTACCATAGGTCAGAAGGCCTGTATTTTATATATGTGGCTCCATTATTTACTAGATATGTGTTCTTTGGACATGTTATATAACTTCTTTGAACCTTAGATGTTATATCCTCAGAATGGGAAAATTGATCCATTCATACAAAGTTGTTAGGAGGATGAAGTAATACAAATGACAGATCTTTGTGACACAGTAACAGTGTATTATGTAAATATTTCATCATAACATTATTCAACCAAATTTTTTCTCATACCTACTATGCCAGATGTTTTTATGAGTGCTGAAAATCCAAGAGAGAGGGTCACCAGCTTGTCTTGGTTTTAACACTGGAAGTCGTATAGCCTAGGAATTCCCTGCATTAGTTTCCTATGCCTGCTATGACAAATTGCTGCAAATTTAGTGGCTTAAAGCAACACACATTTATTACCTGACAATTCTGTGGATGAGAAGTCCAATATATGTCTCACAGGGCTAAATAAAGTTAAGAAGTCAACTGGGCTGGTTCTTTCTAGAGGCTCTGAGGGGAGAATCTTTTTCTAGAGGCTGCCTGTGTTCTGCGGCCCCTTCCTCACATCACCATTCCAACCTTTTTCTTCAGTCCTCATGTCTACTAATGACTTGTCCTCCTGCCTCTTCTTCTTATAAGGACTATTGTGATTACATTGGGTCCACCCAGACATTCCAGGATAATCTTCCTGTCTCATAATCCTTAATTTAATCACATCTGCCAAGTCTCTTTACCTTGTAAGGTAGCATATTTAGGGATTAGGATGCAGACATCTTTGTTGTGGGGAGAGCATTATGCAGCCTGTACCCTATACCATACTCCCTCAGTCCTGGGCGAACTGGGAAAGCTGCATCACCCTAAAGAGGGAAAAAAACGTAGTTAGTGGTTATTCTGGGTGTGTCCCCTAATTAGTAAAACCTTATGCATGCACCTTAATTGTTTATAAGTTATATACATGTGCCAATATGGTAATAGTGTATTAGTATATGTAATAAATTAATGCAAGTTAGATATTTAAGAAAAATGAGAAAAAATAAGTTCTGTTAACAGTACCTTTTGCTCATTAAAATAACAATTTTTAGTGAGAGCTGTGTGATTGACCTACTAGATTATTTTATGTTGTAGTATAGAAAAGGAATAGCTTCAACTACTTCAGAGTCAGCCCTGTCATTTTCTTGTTGGCAGTGCTTGCATTATTAAATTCTTTGCAGGAAGTTTTTAAAAAGCTGCTTCCCGATGTTATGAGGGTCAGTTTAGTTAAAAACCTAATAATTCCTAAGTCTATCTAACTGGGCAAGCATAAACCACAGTGAATCATGGTGTGCTATTGAGTAAAACAAACCCATTGTTTGTGGTACTTCCACTCCTTCCCTGGATTTCTGCCAATAGTTCTTGCTGTTCTTGATGTGTGACCATCAGACCAAGTATGAATCCTTAGTAAAATTTATTTTTTTAAACTAATCAAATGTATTCTTCCTTCACCCCAAAAGATCATCTTGGAGAAGCTCATATTTAGATTTTCGAGAAGTGTTTGAAATTTAAGCAATTCTCATACATTTGACAAATATAATATAACAGGTACTTACAGAGATTTTTAGGAACAGCAAAGGAAGAATTCATATCCTACTTATGGTTCTGTCACTAACTATATGCCTTTGACAAGTTACTTCTGTGAACCTCAGCTCTCATCCGTAAAATGGTCTGCAGGATGGATAGTTCACAGAGAGAATTTTGTTTTAGGCAGAGAGAACACTCTCATTGAATTATCTACAGTGTTTGTGTGGAGATATGGGAAAGGAGGCTACAGCTAGGTTTTGAAGGAATTTGATTATCATGCAGATGAATTCGGATTCTAACCATCTGACCGAGGATGAGCAAGTAAAGAAGTTTAAACAGGAGAAAGGAGCATGAAGTCACGTGGATCTTTTAACTAGATAGCTATGGAGGATAAAGTGGAATGTAGGGGGTCCTACATTCTACTTTTGAGGTAGGGGGTCCTAAGTCGTGGTCCCACTAGGGGAAAGTTGTTATCTAAATCAAGATGTTGGCCTTTTTGACCTTAGTAGTAATTTTTCTGAGTATGTCAGCCCAGTTTTTATCAGTTAAAGAGGTTTATTTCCTGGTTCGTGATTATATTTCTGTACCCTTTTGCTTTTTCTCTTATAATTGCTGTTC